AATTTTGGTTTATTTCAAATTTTTTTCTCAAATAATTATCACTTTTGAAATTTTGGTTTATTTCAAATTATTTCTCACTTTAGAAAATTAAAAAGCTATTAATTATTTTTTTCAAATCTGTCTTTATCTTTTGATATTTTTATTAAGTAAATGCAATAGCATTAGTGGAAGAAGAAGGTAACATAATTAAATGAAGCTATATTTTCTTACAATCAAGAATATTAATGGGTTTTTAATCCTTGTACAAAACTTTTAAAAGATGATTTTTTTTGAAAAAAGTGTTTGTCATTTTAAATGACAGAAAGTTATGTCATTTTAAGAGAAATACAGACACAAAAAATTTGAATTTTAAATTAAAAAAAACCACCAATTTTCTCTCTCCCATGATTTCTGTATCTATCTCTCTCCTAAAATGACATAACTTATGTCATTTAAAATGACAAGCACTAAACCTTTTTTTTTTTTATACATAAGAAATTCTAAAACAAAGAAAGAAATTAATAACTACTCTTGAGGCGATGGCTGAGAGTCCGCAAGCAAATACAAGATAAGATCGGGAGGAGGATCCGAAAATATATATTCGTTATCCATGTCCAGGTGATAATCAACACAGCAGTTAGTCTCCCCCAATGTGAAAAAATAATTATTTTAAAATAGAAAGAAAATGTAATTATCTCGCCTATTAATGTATTCATAAACTTACACAGATTTTAATGTTTGCATGCACTTAGACATATTTGATTCTTTATCCACTAATATTTAATGCGTTCACTCGTCAACTTAGACATGATTTCTTATGCCACATAATCATAATAATAAAATATTTCCAAGTTACTTATGATAAAATAAAATTAATGCACAAACAATATTGGAAAATATTTCCTTAAAAATCAAATACTCCAAGTTATTATAAACATTTAGTTTATTACTTAAACCCATCACATTAAAATTTACAAAATAATCTTTACAAAATACTAACTAAAACCACATAAATACAAGCTAAACATACTTCAAATTCGAATGCTTTCATTTTCTTATATGACAGTTTCATGCTACGAAAAACGTTAGTACTTTTTTACATGTACACGGCTCCGTTAATCTTGAATTTTTAAAGTGTATGTCCATTCGACACCATATGTAGCTTACTTGAACAAGCGTCATTCATTAAAAATAAAAATAAATTATAACATGTTATCCTATATTTTTAATTGAAATAATTAACATACTTAATTTAATAAAATAAATAATTAAAAGAGGAAATAATGACATTTAAAAAATCAGATAATTACAAAATATTATTATTCAATTAAAAGGAGAATAAAACGAATAAAAAAGGAGACAGCAAATTTGAATTACCGTAAAATATCCTCCTTGTCATCCAGACGTGCCGCACATGGTTGCAACTTGCAAATGGTTGACTGGTTGTTGTCACTTGTCATACCATTCCAGTTAGTTGTTACTGTGCATAAGAATAAGAAAAATATATAAATACAAGTTAGTCAAACCTTGCATCATAGCACTTCCCATCAGTATCACTTGTACAATCATGGGTTTTCTCATTCAATTTATACGCATGTCTTTTCACCGATCCAATCGTTAAATTGGTAATTATACGGGGAGGCTACGTTGTACCGACATCGACACAGAACATGAAATACGATATGACGTTCCGATACGTTAATTTTAAAAAATATTAATTTTTAACACGTTAAAACACGTTTTGATATTGTATAATATTTTTAATTCATATAATATATATTGTATTTAGTATTCAATAATTTAACAAAAAAATATAGCTAAACTTATAAGAGGAGGGATATTTTTACTATTAAAATTTTCCACTACCAACTTACTACCCATCTAATCATCATTGGATCAAAGAGAGAGAATGTTAAAAAGTTTTTAAAAAGAGAGAAAATGTTAATCCAAAGGTGATTAGATAGGTACTAAGTTGGTAGTGGAAAATTTTGGTAGTAAGAATATCTCTCCTCAACTTATAATACCCATCAATTTTACAAAGAAATATAATATATCCCAAATGTTTATATTAAACATAATAAAATCGTAATCGTAATCTAACGAACCTAATAGTTAGAACTCAAAATGCAACACAACGTAATTTTTGAACCTTTTTTGAGTCTTTGCAACGAGTATTGGAGTGTCGGGAAGTGTCGGAGTGTCGAAAACTGTCGGACACGACACGTCATGATTTTTGAATTGTCGGAGCTTCATGGCGGGAAGGATCTATTTACAAACTTTTGCAAATTATATTATGTACTCCAGAAGTATATAATGTAATCTAGCGTACTTTTGAGAATACATGGTATTGTTTGTAAATAAAAAATTTATAAATATAATCCTCTCCATTATCTATTATATTAACGAGAAATGTTATATTTTTTACAAACTTTTTGTTATAAATTTTTACAAACTCAATTATATATTTCTGGGAATATACTCGGTTAGGAATGTATTCTTGATAATACATAGTATAGTTTGTAAGAATTTATAAACAAAAACTTAATAAATATAACCTACCCCTATATTAATTTGTGTTAAATCTTAACAAAATGGCTTTTTGACCATACTAATGCATTTTTCAAAATATTTCACCTAGTTAGTTTTTTTATCAAATTTATTACCGATGTAATGCAAGAAGACGCATTATAGGTACATGCACGTAAAGTCGCGCACATATAAGTTGTGAGTTACATAGAGATGCGATATAGGAGGCACTGTGTTCTTCACCAATGCCTAACGTTGGCTGACGCGCATATGAGACAACTGAGTCTCTGACATTAGGGGTGTAAATGGGTTAGGCCGGCCTATAGGGACCTACGACCTAGCCTATATTAGGCTAGGCTTGGCCTATTATAAATAGTAAAATACAACAGGCCTAGACTTTAAAAAAAATCTATTTAGAAAACGTGTCATAAGCTTTTTTGTATATGTCGGGCGTATAAGCCTACATGCCGGTCTATATCATATTATTTATTTTAAATAAAATAAATAATTTTATTTATTTTAATAATTTTGAATAATAAAATAATATTATTTTAGTTATTTTTTTAATTGTTTAATGTTTAATAGATTTTAACAGGCTAACAGGCCTAGGGCAAGACTTTTATTTTTTAAATATAGGTAAGGTTAGAGTTGTAATTTGGAGCCTACACAGGTTAACAGGCCAGATCATACCCAATATTTTTTACACAAGCTTAACTTATTAAGTCAAAGCCTAGCCTAGCCTATTTACACCTTTACCTGACGCGTTTTTCATCACTACACGTCATCGTTGTGCATGAGAACATAATATATTTTTCTCATATGCACGTTAGGCATTGGTGAAGAACATTGTGCCTCCTATACCGCATCTCTATGTAACTCATGACTTACGGGTGTGTGACTTTACACGCATGTACCTGCAACACATCTTTTTGCATTACATTGATAATAAATTTGACCAAAGAACTAACCAGGTGGAGTATTTTGAAAAACAAATTAGTACGGTCAAAAAGCCTAACAAAATTGAATAATTAATAATAAGAATATAATTAATTATTTTTATTTTTATATATTTTAAAAAGTATATACTATGTTAAACTTAATCTATATTAATGAAGTATTAAATTATTTTAGATTAATGTAATATAAGTATGATCTATATCATGGAAACTTTCCATCCAAATAAAAGTTATTAAATGATGCAAAAGTGGTTTTAACTTACATTGTTGAAAGCGATTTTTATGAACACATGATTTTAACCGGGCACACTTCAATTTGCTTAGATATTTTATTTGACATATATCTATCTATGTACCCTGCTTATGATGCATCAAATGGTGTGTAAAAAACTGCTTTCTAATTGGCAATTCTACTTTGGGTTGATCATAATTCTTATGAAGATTTTTCGGAGCTAATTGTAGTTTTTTGGAGAGAAAAAAAATGTCGAAATTAAGGTAGGCGAAGAAATCGCTTTTAATTCTCTAATTGCACAAGTGTTAGCTTCTTTCATAGAGTCTAGCAGTCACCAAACGTTAAAGATAATATAGACTATAGAGAGAGAGATAAAGACGGTGACGCAAGTGTGTCCCAAGACAAGATAGATATAGGTGAAGATCTTTGTGCGCCTTTGTATTCATAACAAAGCCAAAACTACGTTGTCTAATCTTAGATTGCAAAGGACGCGACAACTGTTACTCCCTGGTCCACTCAAAAACATGAGATCTACTTGAGCAGAAAAGTTTATGCTCTCCAAGGCTAGAGAGTATTATCAAATAGGAAAATATCTCTTTATAATTTTTTTATAAATTACTTAAGTATGATTGATTTTATATTTTTAATTGAAGTATTATTCATCATATTTAGTGTAGTTTGTAAATAATTTTTTTTTATAAATATAACCTTTTTCTATTAAATATAGTAAAAAAATTACAATTTTACACTATCTTTGCCTATTTCCACCTATATCTCACTTTTTTGTTAAAGTATAGTATAAATCATTAAAGATGCTCTCACCTGATAACTTAAGTTTTTGAGTTGAATTGGTTCTTTATATGGTATCAGAGTCTTATATATTCTCTTGTGCAATTTTCTTAACACAAGTAGGTGGACCTGTACATTATTCACCCTTCAAGTCCAATGACTCTCCTGTAACGAAGTGTATTAAAGTATAATATAAATCATTAAAAAAATCCTTACCTAATAACTTAAATTTTTGGATAGAATTAGTTGTTTACATTTTTTTTCTTTTTTTCTTTCTGGGGCAACGACCATGTCGTCTAGGACCAGATAAACTTTTCTTCTAATTGAGCATGTTACAGATGAAAGCAATGAATGCCAGCTTTGTGTAGTACATTGCCAGCTGTAATTTATCTTATAGTTTTTTCTTTTGAAAGTAAATTTTATTTTATAGTTTATATGAGGTAAAAAATTTCCTTGCTTCCATATCAGCATGCTCACATGCATTTCAGTCTCTATCTTATACATCTTCATACACACGAAGGAGCAAGCGACTATATTCAAAAGTGAACATGGGGATCAAAGAGAATGTGGAGGATGGTGTGGAGAAAGGAACCAGAGAGCCATTGATGGAGGAACAAAACAACCAGCTGGTCCATGCAAGCAAAGGGCATCCATGGATGGTTTACTTCACTACATTTGTTGCAGTCTGTGGTTCTTATGAATTTGGGGCTTGTGTAAGTGTTTTGTATGCAGTTAAACTCTGTGTATATTTGTGACCTGTTGAAACAAGACAAATAAAAACAATTCTGAGAATAGAAATATGCTAGTTTTAATTGACAAAAGAGTTTGATAGATGTTTGTTTCTCTGAGGAATGATTATTATTTTGTTTCCAGGTTGGCTATTCATCTCCCACACAAGATGCTATCAGGAAGGATCTCAGTCTGTCTCTGGCAGAGGTAAGCCAGTAGTTATTGAAATTTTGATCCATTTGCATTACTCTTAGGAGTAATGAAATCAATGGAAATAGATTGTAAATGACTAACAAATACTTCAACCTAGGAGGGGCTAGTCTTTCAGTAAGCTTAACTAGGACAAAGGGTTAAGAGGAATAAAGAATATGCAGCAAGAAATAAATAAAATGTTCTGAAAGTAAAAAGCTCAGCTGATCAAAACTGAAACGCCTGCCAGTGATCTAAAAATTTTCGCAGAAAGATTGACTGGCTTTAAAGAAAAAAAATTAAGAAATTTTTTAGTAGCAAACTTAGGAGTGTTATGTACACATAAAATAACACTTAATGGATTTGATGCCAGTGCTGGAAAATTAGCCCTGTATTTGATCCAATTTTCTTTGCTTTTGGCATATTCACTTTATGCAGTACTCCTTGTTTGGCTCCATCTTGACTTTTGGTGCGATGATTGGAGCAATAACAAGTGGTCCTATTGCTGATAGTTTTGGACGAAAAGGGGTAAGTTCAGGGATATTATGATGGTTGTTTTGGGATTAACTTCTAACTTGATAATTGTTCTTAATTTCTTATGAGGTATCCTAGGTATTAAACAAGTTGATTTTGGAATATATGCAGGCAATGAGAGTATCAAGTGCTTTCTGTGTGGCAGGGTGGCTTGTTATTTACTTTTCTGAGGTTCCTAGTACAAAACTTGTATTATGTTTTGCCATAATTGTTCTCCAAGGATTATGACTTAACATAACTATTTTTCTTTTATACAGGGCCCTGTGCCTTTGGACATTGGGAGGCTAGCAACAGGATATGGAATGGGAGTTTTTTCATATGTGGTTGGTGGTAGTTCTATTCCCAAAACAACCACTCCTTGTATAATGAAATAGTTCATAAAATTTCCTTTGAGCCATTTTCATGTTCAAATTATTGTAGTTTGACTGTATCTTTGGTGGGTTATGAAGGTTCCTGTCTTCGTAGCAGAAATTGCACCAAAAGATCTCAGAGGGACACTGACTACCTTAAATCAGGTAGATTTTGAAGAATTGCAACACTTGTATCTTCAGGATCAATGGAGTCCATATATATATACGTCGTTAATACTGTTATAGTGAACTGATTGAATAGTAAGTATAGTATGCAATAAAGGTATCAAACATACCTGAGTTTTGTTTTTCTTTTCCCTTGTAGTTGATGATCGTTGCTGCAGTGTCTGTGTCATTCGTAATTGGAACAGTACTTTCATGGAGGGCTTTAGCTTTAACTGGTGAGTTTTCTCCCCAATTTGAATCTAATTCTAACAAGAAGGGGATAAACAAAATAGATAACATAATACCTTTTTCCCAAACTAGTTGGGAGCGGCGGCCGATGAACCCAAATGAAAAGTAATAAAAGATTAAGAGAAAAATAAAAAGAAGATACTTTGCTGGAGGACTCACTAGGTAAGTGTTTGCAATTGCAGGCCTCATTCCCACTGCTGTATTGCTTTTGGGTTTGTTTTTCATTCCTGAATCTCCTAGATGGCTGGTAAGAAAAGAATTCCCATATGAATTTATTTATAAGAGGACAATATGCAGTGGTTTGCATAACATCAAGATTACCAACCAAACATTGCTGCAGGCAAAGAGAGGACGTGCGAAAGATTTTGTGGCAGCACTGCAGATACTTCGCGGTAAAGATGCTGATATATCTCAAGAGGCAGATGAAATTCAGGTTCCTATACTTTTAGTGTTAGATATAATTCTGTGACATTGCTCTCATGCACATGTTAAAGACACAGCATTCCAAGGATAATACAATTAAAGGGTGTCTTTGTCACTGCCACACAGGATTATATAACTACATTAGAACGGCTCCCAAAATCCAAGCTGCTGGAATTGTTTCAAAGAAGATATCTGCGCTCGGTCACTGTAATTATAACTCTCTCCACTCCAACTTATGATTGAAATCTGCTTCCTTTTCATGTTTTTGTTGTATCAAGCAAACATGGAGTGATTTTTATTCAAATTTTTTAATCTTCCCATTTTTCATCTACCAAATTAATTACATCCTAAAGGCCAACATATAACTAATTTATATATCAATGACCAGATTGGAGTAGGGCTTATGGTCTGCCAGCAACTTGGGGGAATCAACGGAGTTTGCTTTTATGCCAGCAGTATTTTTGAGCTAGCAGGTACTTACTTTTGAGAATTGTTGTAATCTTAACTATGCATTCCAAAGTCACTGACACCATCTTACGTATACTTGCTTGCATGCCACCATTTACATCCACATTTCCCATTGGAAGCATGTTTTCAAAACTTGAATAAACTTCATGAAGCATTCAGATTTTTATTTCTTGGCAATGAATATCTGTGGATTTTATGTCATAGGATTTTCTTCCACCACCGGGACTATAATATATGCTTGCCTTCAGGTTCTTAATTTTAACTTAACCACTAATTCTTGGAAAATCTAATATTCGTTTCTTCCAAACCAACCCATCATGATTTTTATTTTGCAGGTTGTGATCACAGGACTTGGAGCTGTCTTCATAGATAAAGCTGGTAGGAAGCCTCTACTACTGGTAAATTCAAAGCACAAGACATTTTTTCTTCGAAGTTTGATTATTGGTTTGCTTATAAAGATCCCCTTCATGTGTAATATTCTTATTGTTCTTGGTTTCATTTAGCTCGCTGGATCGGGATTGGTGGCGGGTTGTATATTAACAGCAGTTGCATTCTATCTTAAGGTACATCTCAACTGAGAACCCTACAGCTTCCAGTTTTTAATCCTGATATTAATGTGGAAGTTATATCCTTTGTGTATAACAGGTTCACGAGGTGGCTTTGGGGGCAGTCCCAGCACTTGCTTTAACAGGCATACTGGTATGATCATATTACCCTTTCTTTCATTATGCTATTTTCTTGGATGTGTCTCATAAATATAAACTAATTATTTATGTGATATACATTATGTGACATTTAATTCTTTCGGTGACATTAGGTGTACATAGGATCATTTTCAATAGGAATGGGAGCAGTTCCATGGGTTGTGATGTCCGAGGTATTCACTCTTCTCCCCCTCTTTTCTCAGCTTTCAAGTTTGCCAATAAGCTAAGCACAAGCAAGAGAAGAGAAGCAAATAAATAAAACATTTACTAGATGGAGTTTCCAAAATTAGAGTTGCATTTAAGAACTACCAAATGTTGATCCCCAACTATATATACTTCTATTTTCTTTGATTTGGGGTTTAGCTATTTGTGCGTGTTGCTATGCCAAAATCAACATGCAAATTCTACAGTTATAAAACTTGTCCTATATTATCAGAATCAGCAAGACTTTTTTTTAGCAAAGAGATAGCATTAATCTTGCTCACCTTCGGTTTCAGATATTTCCTGTCAATATTAAAGGGCTTGCAGGAAGCGTAGCTACATTAGTGAACTGGTTTGGTGCATGGTTGTGTTCCTACACTTTCAACTTTCTCATGAACTGGAGCACCTATGGTAAATACAAGTTATATTTTCAGTTTTATGTCATTTAAAGGACTAGTGATCAGCATTATTATATGATAATCGATTTACCATTTGGCAATAATAGTAGAAGATTGAAGTTTAAGAAACCTGAAGAACACGTGAATTCACTTGTGTGTATTATTTTCAGGTACCTTCATTCTTTATGCTGCAATCAATGCACTAGCTATCTTATTTATAGTTGTGGTGGTGCCAGAAACCAAGGGGAAAAGCCTGGAACAAATACAAGCAGCCATTAACGCGTAGCAAGCAGGAGTTTTGCAATTTGCAGTGTATGGTAGGATAAACATAACAAAACAAAACAAAAACAAAGACAGATTGATGATTGAATCACTGTCCTTATTATTTATCGTTGGTTTGCTTCTATATTGATGTTTGAATTCGTTCTCAAGGTTTATAATTTACTTTGGTTCGCTTCATGTCAATGATTCATGGAAATCGTAAAGAACCAATTCAACTCAAAAGCTTAAGCTATTAGGTGAGGCTACATTAATGGTTTTATATATCACACGAGAGCTCACTGGGCTTGAAGGGTGGACAATGCACAGGTCCACCTACCTGTGCGAACAAAGAAATTCCACTTGAAAGAAAGTGGTGGCGGCGAGGATCGAACTCGGGACACGAGGCTCTGATACCATGTAAAGAACCAATTCAACCCAAAAGCTTAAGCTATTAGGTGAGGCTACGTTAATGATTTTATATATCTCAACAGAAATATATACTCAAGGCAGCAGTTTAAAATTTGCAGTTGCACTATGTCTCCCAAAGGAGAGGGGGGAGGGGATCCCATTTTATTGCATCCGAAAATAAAGAACTCAAATTTATTAAAATGATCTGGTTTAAAATAATTAATTTACAAGGTAAATTTAACCACAAAAAGAACAAATGGAGAATGCTTTTTTCCCTTTCCAGCATTTTCATAAAGAGTTACAAAAATTTCCCCACACCTAATGTTGATTAACATCTTGAAAGCATACATTAACTTGTCTTCCAAACAGCTAATTTTACAATTACATAGATTTTTACTATTGTAAAAAGCAACTAAGCTTTTTTCAGACATTATGCTACTGAATGTGATCAGATTCAATTGGACAATCCTCAATAGAGTTGAATTTCAGAAGGTGGGGATAGAGGCATTGGTAGAAATTCAGTCCATTCACTACATATTAGCCATCCGAAGATACTGCTACTAAAGCTAATTTTTTCAAGAGTTTAACAGCTTCATGATTCCGTATAATCTTGGGTGGTTTATATTGACTAGCTGATGCTCCATTCTTAATGGCTAATTTGGATAACTGATCAAAAGCTCCAGGCCTTAGGATGAATATCAATAAGTTCCCAAGTTCACCTTTATCCCTTTGCACCTTGTACATAGCTCCCAAGCCATTCTCAAGAGAGGAAATACACCTTTTAAAAATTAGAACTGATTCCTCCAATTTATGCTCCAGAAAATTAGATTCCTCTTGGATTTCTACAAATACCTTCAACTGCTTTGGCCTTGACTCCTGGTCCAAGAAACTTGCAAACTCAACAATCTCAATTCTCATAGCACCTCTTAGTTCAAGTTGAAAATATTCAACAGCTGAAATCAAGTCTTTCTCAGTCAGAATCTCAGCAGGAGTTTTAGGTGCTCTCATCACAAATTCCACTTGTGGAGATGAATTATAGAAGCCAACAACTCTCACTATATCACCCAAACGGTAGCGATAAAATCCTCTATAAGTAGTAACAACCACTTCATACATCTTCCCAACCTCCACACTGCTAAGGTCCACTGTTTCTTTGCCAACATCATTGTCCTCATTCATGTTATATGGAAGAAACTCAAAGTAAGCAGCAGTTGGAAGCATTACAAAACGTGTTGTCTCGGGGGGTTGCATTATGTCTAAATTTATACCCACACTACACTCTGAAGCAAAGTAATCTCCTCCTAAAATAGGTACCTCTCCTGCATAATACTTAAGCTTTTGATAGTACTGCTTCATGCTTCCGGTTGTAACACACCTGATGAAACGAATGTTTGGCCACAATCTATATACAATCCCACCCCAGTTCTTACCTTCACAAACTAACCTTATTCTATTTGACAATTCTGGCTGAGGCCCACAAAGTGTCTTAGTTACAGCTTCCCTCATTGCTACCTCAGAAATTTCATAACTTGGAAACCCATGATCAAGATCATCACAAAGCTGCTCCCACTTGGACTCCAGAAGACCAAATGCTTTAATCAAGCCTATGGCATAAGGGGTTCTAATTCCATCTATAACATCAAGATTCCTAAGGCCACAAAGAAGGTGGCAATACATTTGATGCTCAACATGAGATCCAAGAATAACTTCTAGAGGACTAGAAAAGGCATCAAGTTGTTGAGAGGTGGCCTTACCACTTTGTAAAGGGTATGAAGAAGCAGCCATAACCTTCAAGCCACATTTAGTAGTAGTAATACTATCAGCATAGAGAAACCATAGGATCTTGTTGACTTCAGGCCTTGGAGGAAACAGCCTGCACGTAAGTCATTAAACAAACATATAAAAGTTCCTTCAAAGTTTGGCAGAAACTAAAATCTATTGGATTAATTTACCTCTGAAGAACAGCAACACTGCCTCGGTGAGCAATAAAGGAGGCAGCTTTGGAAAGGCTTGAATCAAAGTAAGGAATCAATTTTGGTTTCATGGAACTTGTTCCGGAGCTGAGAAAGAAAAAGCCACATAAAACAACCAACTTAAACACCTCTATCATCAATCAAAGTTAAAGTATCCAAAGAACATTGAAACGTTCATATGACAAAACTTTATAACCATAGTGTCTAACAAATGAGGGATCATGATGCCTACAACATAACCTAGTATGTGAAGTGATTTGCAAGTAAAGATGAAGGCTTATTGGGATATTGATTTGAGAGTAGAGAGCTATTATACCAACCTGTAGAAGAAGCAGAGGAGAGGATCAACAGAGAGAAGAGGGTGATGAGGATCAATTTTCCCATCTGCCATCTGGTTGATATAGTCAACGTAGTCTTCATGGGAAGACAAGGGCACAACACGGTTGAAAGTAGAAGGATCAAGAGGATACCCTTTGTAGGGGTGGAGATAGCGAACGCAGCCATTGTGAAGAAGGATTGAACGAAGAGTCTCCAACTGATGATGCTGGGCGTTCATGGTGGAATCTTCCAGCTTCTGAATGAGTTCCTCGTCTGTCATCATGGTCACTTAATGTTTGTCTTTGTGTTTTTCTATGTTGTATTTTGTTCACGTTCAAGATCACAACTTTTTCTACACTTTGTCGGATGAGTACAAAATCAGAACTTTTGAGAGGATTCCGTTGCCGTTCGTTTTCAGTTCAGAATAACTAGTTTGTTTTCCCCTTGGTTTTGACTTTTGGTTCTAGAAAGACATTGTTACGAGAAGATGTTTATAGAAATATAAAAAGTAATAATAATTAAGTAAAGTTATTTCTCATTAGATACATTAGGCGTGAATTCTTGTGTCTTAAGATTCTGTCATTTCTGTGAGTATCCGCGTCATTAGCGGGTAGTTTTCAAAATGAATGGTGGAGGTGTCAAAATTGCCAGCACCAGTTCAAAATCAACTATTAATGACACTGAGGGTTGCGAAGGAAAATTTCTTTATAGGAACAGATGCACCGAAATTTTGTGAATTTTTCGCACAAAAATAAGATAGGTATCACATTATAAATAAAAGATGTTTCAAAAATTTGATCCATCCGTATCACCGAATAAGATATTTTCATTACAAAGAGACTTATTTATTGTGGGACTTTCATATTAAAATTTCATCATCATGTAAATTTTTTGTATTTTTTTATATATATATTAAAGGAAAAAGTGTTTACCATTTTAAATGGCATAAAGTTATGTCATTATAACAGAGAGATAGACACAAGAAAATATTTTTTTATTTAAAATTTAAATTAAAAAAACAAACCACCCACTTTCTCTCCTATTATTTTTATTTTTTATATTTATCTTTCTCTTAAAATGACATAATTTATATCATTTAAAATGACAAATACCAGACCCTATATTAAATAGACAAAATTTAATTATTATTAATAGAAAAGGAGATATGTATAAAAATTTCATATTAAATTTAATCATGATTCATTCATGATTGTTGACTATTGGTCTGGAGAACTGTTTGGTACTTCCCAAGGCCATATTTAATTTGTTGGTTTAGTCCAGTGCAGTCATTTTTAAGGAGACGTTTAGTACGGGGGAAATTTTTATTTGTCCGGAAATTTTGATTTTTAAAAATATAATTTTTACATTCAGTTTACGATAATATCTAAAAATTTAAAATTTAAAAAAAAAATAATTTCTTGAAAATCTGAAAAAAAAAAAAAAAATCAGTGTACCAAATAGCCCATACTGTTCTGCTTGATGAGTTGGCAGCAAATTGAAGACGAGGATCTTCTTAGTTTATGTTCACACACAAGCGTACAATAACTAACACAGTTTGAAAAAGGTTCGAGACACTCTGGCCAACAAAAATATCCAAGTAGTCATGGATTTACAGGAAAAAAATATTTATCCCTTTAAACCAGGGTTATTTTAATTGTTGGTTTAAAATTTAGATTAAAAAAATCATTCAATTTTTCCTCCCATAATTTTAATTGTGTATTCCTTTCTCTCAACTAAAAAAATAAAATTCTATATTTTTTAAAAAGACAAACACCATACATATTACCCATTTTTAACGATACTTCTAATAAATTACAATGCAATTATAATTAGTGTTTTTTTAATATTATTCATAAATTTATCGATTAATTAATTAGTTTGATTCGAGTTGAGTAATATTATATAAATGGCAAAACTCTTCGTACTAAATTTTAACACAATTATATTCTGGGACTCGAACTCAAAAGTATTGATTAAGCCGAAATAATCACTTATTAATTAATCTACCTACTTGGTGGCTTTTTTTAAAAAAAAAAAAAAAAATCATAGATTAGTTGCTTTCTTGACAATTATTTATCTGAGAACGGAATATTTCACAGTCCATTCACAAGAGTCTCTTTATGAACTCTTAAAGTTACGAGAAGCAAGAAATTACTCTGTAGATTTGTAAGTTCGTAATCAAAAGCTATACAAATCCAAGAAAGAAAAAAAAAAGTGTAACACATCGTATCCCATCTTATCTTTCATATTTTTTTTAATAGGAAGCTGGAAGCAGGAACAAAACCAACTGCACCCATCTCCTAAATGTAACCTTACTAATCTAAACTGAGTAGGAAAGTAAAGAGTTCAATCTATATCTCCATTGTGTGTTTTCCAAATACCTTTTGATGGATTTGATTGCGTAATTCTCACAACTTTCTGTCTTGGTTGTCGCTGCTTCTTTGTCAGATTTTCTTGAGGATTGTTATTTACTTTTACCACATCAACTTTCACTATGTGATGATCTGAAGTACCTTTGGAAGAAAGGACTAAATAGGACCCTGGAACAAATTTATATGGAGAATCTGAGGAAGATAATATGTAATCTACCCTTGTTCCATACTTACATGTCCCTTGCACACCTGCATAATTTTTATAATTTTAATGAACTTTGTATTAAAATTCAAGAAACCAAAGGCTTAAGAGGTTCAAAATTGAACTTTCATAAAATAAAAGGTTAAGAAATTGTAGTTGTACTTTGGCCTTTGGCAATCATGACAACGGACTCACATTCCCCTGCAAAGTCCTTAGCATCTGTGTAGTGTCTACTCTTTAGATATTTCATCACTTCAACCTTTGGAGTTGGCTTTCCCATCTCTTCATAGTACTGGACACACAAATGAACCAATTGATAGAAATTAATTTTATTTATTTTTATTTTTATCCTTAACATCAAAAAGTAAAAGGAGAAAAATAAGTTGAGGTCATGCCTGATATTTGTACCTTTACAATATCTGTCCATCTTTCTTGGGAGTAATCTGATTCATCAAGTGAATTAAGGCCTCCAGCTAAGATGTGTGGCTCATTATTAGATTGAATTATTGCATTTATTTGCTTCATCCGCCAATTCTCATCAAGATGATCAAGGAGGGTACAATAAAAGTTGAGTTCACCTGCTTGGGGTACATCGATAGTGGTCTTCAGAACATTCCTGTTGCCATGAAAATTACAATTTTGTTGCTTGTCACATTCACCCTTGTTGCTAAGTCATTCTCTAACCCCCACAATTTCAAATAGATTTCTTTTTATTGTATTTGTCCTAGCTTGATTGTTTTCACAGGCTGGATTTCCACTAATATTTCAATAATCATTCTTTAAATGGATGGTCATTAGCAAGAAATACCTTAGGAGTAAAGTAAGACAAAGTTACCTACTTTAATTATTTTGAAGTTGAACAATGACAGTAACACAATATGCTTAATCTCCTTCAAGATCAGACAAATTGGGCGTCTGGCTATTTCTTAAAACGGCAGCATTATTTGGTTTTTGCAATAGATATTCAAAGATGATGACAAACAGTACCAACATTGCATCATACATATTTCCTTGACATTGAACAAAAAATTATTTGATGCAGCTTATAGTGATGTTTTATCTCTCCCACCCCACAAAAAACAACAGCAACTTACTCTGGAAGAATGGTAATACTTTTCAAGGACAAAGACAAGGACCAACCATTAGTATTTGCCAGAATATGAAAAACATTAAATGTGTATGTTCTACAAGACCTAGAAAATCATGTCAAAAATGCTGAAGGACGAAAATATTCTGCGGAGGCAGAGCTACAGAAATTGATGTTCCTTCGTTGGAATATTTTGAAGAGCAAGTAAATAAAAGATGTGATCAATTGGTCTTGATTCTTAATAAATTATTCATCTAATCATTTATAAATTTCGTCACAAAAATGCTGATTGTTTGAGATATAAAATAAAATGCCAGTCTCAAAGGAACATTGATGAGAACACAAAATACTTGAGGAGTAGGTGGGGACAACCCTGCCTCGCTGCATACAGCTATCACAGTTAAGATGCCGTGTATCTTATCAATGCAAGTTGCAAAAGGAAGAAATTAAGGAAAAAAGGGTGTGTCAGTTTTTCAGGATTGAAAATTACACTTTGAGAAAACCTATGTATAAACAACACATAAGTAATGATACTTGTTTTTATATTGCATAGTTTTGAAATAATTGAAGACTTTATGACAAAAGTGATTATGGTTTTCACTTTTCCTTAGCAATGGCACAGGATCAAGATTCTTCACACACACAGTCACAGAATTAAAAATAATTAAAACATGGTAATTAATTAAGTAAAAGTCCTAACCTGAAATCAGTGTGATCAAAAACTTTCTGAACTTTGCATCGTTTGATGGGCCACTTGGACAAAACGGCGTTGCCGTATTCGGGTGCCCAGCTTTCAGCAAAGACATAGTTCATACCAAGAGCATGAGCCAAATCAGACAAAGGCTTCATCCCATTCTCTTCTTCAGCCTTAACATCTTGCAGACCCAAAACGTCAGCGTTTAACTCTCTCAGAACTTCAAACACAGTTCTTGTTCTTCCACCGTGTCGACTCTCTTCACCAAAACTCATCATCACCCTTCTCCAAGGCCCTTCTTTGTCGTGTTCCGAGAAGCTTGATTGTCGGTTTCTCAGCAGCGAAATCTCGTTGTCGGGTAGGTTAATGGACACTCTCAACTTTGACTTAGCGTACTTGCTCTGCTTGTTGACGAGGTTTTCTGAACCTGCAGGGTGTAGTGGAGATTGTTTCAGAATGCTTCTTGGTCTTCCTAGTTTGTCGTCAAAGGTGGTGGTTTTGTCTCCCTTGGGAAGCGCTGGTGCCATGGAGAAAAGTGCAGCGTTGAACGTTGCGATTCGTATTGGTTTGGTGGTGGTGGTGGTTGTGGTCGTGCTGCTACTGTTTGATTCGTTTTGAGGCTTTGGGATGGTCTTCATGAACCTCTTGATGACTAGTTTGGATTTGGAACGGCGCCGGAGTGGCCACCGGAGGTGGGAACAGAGGCGACGGAGGTTCTTGTTGAGGAGTTTGAGCATAATGGAGATGTGGGTGTGGGACAGGACAGGCTCTTGCCTTGGAGATACCATGAGAATTAAGATGAATTGACGTTGCTTGTGGTTTGTGAACTAGAACTAGAATTGTGGCTTATTGTAAGGGGAAAAAAAAAATGAAGGTTGAAAAGAGATGATGTGAAAGTTTGGGACTAGTTGCAAGTTTTCTTTGTCTTTAGAGGTAGAAAATCTCATATATAATTGAATTGGCAATATGTCATAACAAGAGTTTTCTACTTTTCTTCTCTCTTTTTTCATGTTTTAGGAGCACTTTTAGAATGTCTTTTGTAAAAGAGAGGAAGGTGTCTTCCTGGAAACGAGTTGGTGACATTTGGAACTGACTTAATAGTTATTATTTTCTTTCTTTCATTTTCCATTTTTTTTTCCAAATGAAATCAGTGACATGTATAGTTTGGTTTATTTTTGGATAAAGATGTCATATTATTCAGCCCTAAATAAAAGATAGGTGGGACTTGGAACATGCCATATTGGCATTGTCAGGCCCCAACTGCTCCAGAAACATAATTGGCTTCCTTTAATTAGTTGTTTATTGGACACTAGGACAATGTCGTTTAGCCTTCAACCGAAGCAAGAAGGTTACTTAACAATATATATATATATATATATATATACATAGAGAGAGAGAATTTTTGACATCAGTGTGTCAAATTTAAATTTTGACACCTTATCTGAGAGCCATTAGATAAAAAAATCAATAGTATCACATGCTTACAAATCAGAGTCGTCAAATTTGAAATTTGACATCTCATCTGAAATTCATTAGATCAAGAAAGATCAATGGTATCACATGCTTACAAATCAGAGTCGTTAATCTTTTTTGATCTAATGGCTCTCCGATAAGGTGTCAAATTTTAAATTTGACATTAGTGTCAAAAAATCCTACCTCATATATATATATATATATGAGATAGGATCAACTTACACCGGTGTAAGAATAACAAGTCTTACACCAAATCTCAACCGTTGATTTCCGTGCATCTAACGGTTGATATTTATTGGGAATTAAAAATTAATTAATGAGTGAGACCTAATAAATTTTAACCGTTAGATGCAGAAAATCAATGGTTAAGATTTGGTGTAAGACTTGTTATTCTTACACCAGTGTAAGATGATCCTGCCCATATATATATATATATATATATATATATATATATATATATATAGGGATAGGATCAACTGACACTGGTGTAAGAATAATAAATCTTAACCGTTGATTTCTGTGCATCAACGGTTGAGATTTTTTGGGAATTAAAAATTAATTAATGAATGAGACTTAATAAATCTGAACCGTTAGATGTAGAAAATCAATGGTTAAGATTTGGTGTAAGACTTATTATTCTTACACCGGTGTAAGATAATCCTGCCCCATATATATATATTTGTGTGTGTGCACGTGCACGCAACCAAATGATGGTAGTTTATTTGAGAATGATTTAAAGTCTTAATTTTAAATCCATTCCGAACATAATTGTCTCTCGAAGATGATACACGTGGTTTATCCAACAACAACAAAATGATGGTACTCAGTTGGAGCATGGAGTTGAGCAAATGGGATGAGAATATGTGTTTAATTCTTCCCAATACTATTTTTGGGAGAGGTTTAAAACCTTAATCTTGAATCCGTCTCGAACAGAATTATTTTCCGTAAAGGATACATGTGATTTATAAAAAAAAAAATGCACAAATCATGAATATATATAATTTATACTCGTTCCAGCCCCAGTATTGCACTGCAGGTAAACTCTTATTCTTTTAATTTTCCTAGCTTGGTTAAGATAATCAAGCAAACCAATTAAGGAAAAGCAAAGTATTAATAATAATATGAGCCAACATCTCTGGTCAAGGCCATGCAAATAAGATTCTTATTTGGAACGCCACGTCACATAAAACCCGCCGTACCCATCTCCCATGAGCCTACCATTTTTCCAAAAAATCTAAAGAATTAGGACTCGTGACAAGTGAGAACTTCTGTGATAAGACCCCATATAACATGAGTTGGAGTGGGGACAAACACCCTTGACCCTTCTCTGGTTAGCACTTTGCAAGTAACGTTACAATGCCAGGGAATATAGGAATGCACCTTTCTGTTTGTGTTCAGTATTTTATATACGGGGAGCGTTTGGTAGAGGAAATTTTTTTATTTATTTATTCAGAAATTACGATTTCTAGGAATATGATAAGAAAATGAGTTTTTTGAAAATGTTATCAAAAAATTATTTGGTAGACTAACATATTCCTGGGAATATTGGGTTAATTTGCTTGATACTATGTTTAGTTATATTAAATTTTTCATTTCCATAGAAATCCTAGAATACCACCTTTTGAATGATATTCCTGGATGGTTTTTTCAAAAAAAATTACACATAAAATAAAATTCCAGGAAAATCAGATTCTCAACAAAAATTTAAAAAACTTATACCAAACGTAAGTAAATAAAATTACCACTTTCAATTTCCCAAGAAATTCTAACAAAGTCCTTCTACCAAACGGCCCCATATACTACTACTTCTTTTTTTTCTTTGTTTTTTTGGAAAGTATAGTACTACTTCTTTTAAGAAAACGATAATTAACCTTTTCTAAAAGAAGCTACGATAAGGAAAACAAAGAAATATTGTATGGACCCATAAGATATACTTCTTAAGTATTTATTTTTCATCAAATGTAACTCTCTTTTATATATCATTTTACACGGTATTCTATGTTTTTTACTTTGCCCATTTGGATAATCATATTGGGATTTGATCCCACTAATTAATTATATAAATTATTTTAGTTAACGATACTTTCAAAGTCAATTGTTTGACTTATATATAGTTAGTTAAAAGCCTAATATTAAACGAATAAAAATTATAGTAACGCAGGAAGCCAGGAAGGTTTGTCTGTAATCGTGGCCTACATACTGAACGTATATGAGGAACAGGTAAAATGTGAAATATAATATTAACCATAAAGTATTGTCACTTTCTGTGTAGAAAAGGAAGCAAAATATTAAGAGTGAAAGAGAAAGACAGAAGCAAAGGCTAATTTGCTATGGGAATGAGTCAAAAACCTCAACGGGCTCATATTTATGTGTCAGCCCTGCATAACATAGTAGAAATGATTTTTTAAAGAGAGGGAAAATTCAACGTCACAATTTTGACAAATGTTACTAGTACCCACTCAAAATCAATGTTCTAAGAAAAAGAAAGATTAGGTAAGGTAATATATTTTTATTGCTATAAACTAATACGTGGGCCTAGCTGGATTTAATGTGTTGAAGAAAATGCCAAATGCATAAATTTGGTTTTCGAAGCTGTAAAAGATCTCAGCATTTTAACAAACTTTTTATGCTTACAACCAAGCTACGGGTCTGGACGTTGGAAGCTCCTTTCACTATATTTATTACAGATTATTCTATATATATTCATATGACAGTGATACAATATTTAAGTAGATATTTTGTAACCTAATGATATTAACTTTTTTACCAGTTTAATTTTAATGAGATTTAATTAATATAACGCTTTTGTATCTTTTGTCCATTCTCTGATCAGATGATTTTCCTTTTAATTGTAACTATAAATAAATAAATTAAAGAAAATTATGGTATTTTAGACAAGGACTTCTGCTTATATATGCAGCCTTGGATGATAACATTATTTTATTTTTTTTATTTTTATTTTTTTGGTATAAATGATAGCTTGATTTATCCAAAGCTAGTAGATTATATGCCAGAAATAAGAGATTCTCAGATACATGAATCCTCTTAATCTAGAGCGAGTAGGTTGTGAATGAGCTGTGGTAAACATGCATTATTAGAGAATGTGATTCAGTAGGTGCGCCCTGCATATATAATATAACGCAAGCCTTTTGCTTTTACAGTTGCGGGTGTGCAACTGGGCATGACAATCTTTTTTTATAAATATTTTTTTTCTTTCTTTTAGTCTGAGAATATTGTGTAAAATATATACATTATGCAAGCAATGTGATTCAAACATGGTTATACATCAGAAGGTTTATTACTGGACCATTTTTATTTGTTGGACGTAATGTTCTTAATTTAATATTTATTATATATTATTTTATAAATTTAATTTATGTGGTTCAGTGACCCATCGGTTAATCCAGTGACACAATATCTCAATGGAGTCGATGATTGGGCTTAAAACATTGATAAAACTGTTAGAAATAGTATATGATAAAAAGATAAAAAAAATTTGCTATCAGAAAATATGAATTGGCAAAAATAAAAAAATAATTTCTTTTTGACTCACTATTTATTAAAAACAGACATAATAAAATATATTATCGGCATTAAATACATATTATTTATTAAATGATTTATCTTTGGATATAAAAATAAGTTATGCTATTTTGTTTAACTCAATCTTATCAATCATATTTTTTTTTTTATCACAATCTCTTCCTAAACATAGAATTGTTGTTATATACTCCCTTAACTAACATTTCCAAAACACTCTTTTATCAGCTCATCAAGGAAAGTTAGCCATATTTAGAATTCCATTTTGATCTTCCAAGAATCAGAGATCAAATGTTCTAAAAAATTAGTGAATTGAACATATAGAATTCATTCATCACCTCAATGATTGTTCTGAAAGGGAATATCATATTATTTGTCACTTTTTTTCTAGAGTTTAGTTGAGCTAACCCTATCCGAATCGAGGCGAGAGAGCTTTTGTTGTTGGAAGATGGTCATATATATCTAGCTATGTTAATTACAAGCTACTCAGATTGAGTTAATGGTGAGAAATTTGGGTAATTTACGTAAGGTCATAGGTTCAAACTTCAATACTTCTATTGTATAAAAAAAAAAAAAAAAGCTATCTTAATTACTCAGTGCACAATAATGCATGGTCGTTAAAGAGGACCATTAATGCAGAAGCCTAATTCAAGTCCACAAGGGCCAAAGCCCCAAAACTATACTATCACTTATGTGTTCAAGAGTCCCAAATTTGCAGCCATAAATTTAATACAAATTCCCCATTATTTTCGTAACATAGGGTCCATTCTATTATACCCAAACTGAACGTGGTTATGTTAAGTAGACAACTTGAACTGGGCGGATCCACAAGACTCTAGAAATTGAACGTGGCATGTTTCTAATTTAAACTATACAAAATATATATCTACACATCATTTTTAACATAATTGTATACTTTTTAATTTATTACATACATCTATCACACTAAAAATCATAAATTTATTTTATAAGGGGTTCGCTTTTTCTACCGTCAATGTAAATAACTTATCTACAGTGAGCCCAAAACGACATCATTTTGAGGCAGAAATCAAGGTATTTTTGTAATTATAATTTATTTCAAGGTTATAATAGTCTTTTTATTATAATTTTTTAATTTTTCAACCCAAAACGACATCATTTTGAGAGCGAATATAGATAACTTATCTACATTCACTTTATAAACATTAAAGTCTTTTATAAAATACTAACTGAAAACATAAAATTACGAAGAGAACAAAAAAAAAAACATTCTTCAACAATTTATTCCTCAAACATATTTTCTCGTTAATTTAAAATTTACAAACTCAAATGCAATGAGAAAGCGAGTAATTCAGTTCGTCTGAGCTGTTGTCGTTTAGACATCATTTCTGCGTTCCAAGTCCACATTCTGCTCTACCTCACATTCCTTATCTTCCATCCTCTCATCGTCGTCGAGTTTCCGATGAGAACCTAATTTCCCACCAAAAAAAAAAAATGAACACTTTGATTTCACCGGCTTCTTCAAACCGTTACCTTTCGGGGTTCCCTTACCCTTTTCCCTCTCCGGTCCTAAGCAACAACACCAACCTTCAAAGGTTCCAATGTACCCTTCCAACGATTAGAACCAACTTCTTGTCGCACTCTCTGGTTCGCGGCACACTCTCTGCACGTGCCACTTCCGATGAAATCGACACACAAACAGTGGATGAAGAACTTGCAGAGGAGATGAAAGTGGAACCCAACGCCAACGAGGGAAGCACATCCACTTTTTCTGCTCCAATCGACAAAGAGCTTAAAAAGGTTTTTTTTTCCCACCACTGGATCATCCTTTAATCTTAATTCAAATCAAATTTTAAGGATGCCCATTTGGTCAAAAACCTCTCTTTCTTAGAAATTCACTTGAAAAACGTTTCTGTTGTTGCATGTTAATAAGAGTAAGGGAAGACATTAGATAGATAAGAGTGGATATTAATTTTTATGTCTGTTTCACGTGACAGGTTGCTCAGAAGACTGCTGCTACCTTTGCACCAAGGGCTTCCACAGCTACAAAAAACCCTGCAGTACCAGGAACTGCATTGTACACTGTTTTTGAGGTTCAAGGGTATGCATCAATGTTGTTAGGTGGAGCTTTGTCTTTTAATCTCATATTCCCCTCAGACGAACCTGACATTTGGAGATTAATGGGAATGTGGTCTATTTGGATGTTCAGTAAGTTCACACCTAACAAATTTGATCTGAATTGAAAGTTGCTTGAAAGAACAAGTGCTTGCTTGCTAGTTGCTACTTCATGCTTTACCAGTTACCATTCTGCAGGATGTTTGATTGGTCAGTATGAAAAATTTCAAAACCTTGTATAGATAATGTGCGTTTCTCAGAAATATTGTTTTGTATTTGAAACCAATTGTAAGTGTGATTAGTAGTTCATGCAAGATGTTGTTCGTGTCCTATTGCTGTGACTCTTTATTTAGTGTAATTTTTTTATGTTGAATAGTATTTATTATGTTTATATGCAGCAATCCCTTCATTACGAGCTCGAGATTGCTCAAAGAATGAGAAAGAAGCTCTCAACTATCTTTTTCTCCTCATCCCATTGCTCAATGTTTTAATCCCATTCTTTTGGAAGTCCTTTGCTGTTGTTTGGTCGGCAGATATAATAGCCTTTTTTGGAATGTATGCGTGGAAGGTACATGTACTTTCTAGTTATCCAGATTTGCTGTTAGCTCTATTTTATTGTAACTAGTTATCTGAAGCATATCACTTGCAGTTTGGGTGGCTTCAGAAAACGGACTAGGGAACCCAACCTGGTGGTTAACTACTACTATCAAGGCTTGCTGGTTCTTGACTTTCTTTTGGATCTGAATTATATATGACACACAGCAAATGCGATGCAATATTTCTTGGAGAATTTCAGGATCCCCAAGACCAAGATGAATGAATTGTGTTAAAATTCCAGTAGCTTTGTACCTACTAGAGGAGCAAGATACCATCCTTGCATTTCTTTTATTATCAAATGAAGAAAATGATATAGGGTCTCTGAAAGTTTTGAATTTTGATAATTTGTAGTGCCGTGTATTGCTGAAAATATTGAAATCCCCAGTGCCATCAATACCCTCCCAAAGATGAAACGTAATTTAACCTTGGTTTATAGGACATATATTTTGTTCACTTAGATTTTTTTATTTTTTATTTTTTTGAAAACTGTATCACTTAGATTTTAGATGGCTGTAAAGTGTAAAGTATTTTCTTAACTGGAATAAAATTAAGACAGTTTTAATCCAATTAGTTTCTGGTGAATAAACAGTAAAGGGTAAAATATCTAGCTGATGCATCCTGATTCCATTAATTAATTTTCGCCACAATTTAGTCAAGATCACAATGCAGAAAAAAAAAAAAGGAGGCATGGGCTGGCAAGTGCCAACCCTGAAAACAAGATGGCAACGGCCTGTCAGAAAAACTATTCACCACTCAACGCCCACAGTTACAACACCTTGAACCAAAAAAATAGAAAATAGAAAATAGAAAACTACTAGGACCTCCCAACTTTTGGGGACTCCTTACATTTTCAAACTATCGGATTCCGTGACTAAAGCCATCTAACAAACATTCCAATGCTAACAATGTTCAACTGAGTAGCGAAAGGACAGTGGATCTTTGAACACTATTGAAGACTTACTACAATTGCAACAATTTTTTCCCTCTTTTATACCCCTTTCCAGAAGACCAAAGGAATAATGAAACTTGAAACTTGCTTGACAATCTACCGCTTCTTTTTATTTGACCTTCTCCTTTCTGCCTCTCTTTCGGCAACCAGAACACAGAACTCAGAACCAAGCATCTCGTGTAAATCAAGATTCAGAGAAAGGCTTAGATCAATAATTCCCTTGATGATGTCCAATGTAATATTGAATCCCAAAATCGACAATACTCTAACAGCATTAGCAGCCCTGCATATATATTTTCTTGTCTCCAATGTTGTGTAATTTTTTTCTTGTTCTTCAAGACTCACAGAATTTTTATTGGGCGATAAAACTTGGGGATCAGATTGGTTCACTAGATCTTCTACCATGTCATCTTTGGCTTCAACATGTTCCCCAACCCATATGAATCCATTACAGCCAATTATTAAATCAATGCCATACTGCTCCAGATGATGGAAATGTTGTTTTTGTCTCTTCACTAAATAAGGTGGGACTGTAAGCAGCTGACCTCTATTAAGCTGTCATACAACTGAGAGCTATTAGTAACAGTATAAGATTGAAGAATATAATCCGAATAAATTTTAACCAACCATTATATATTACAATTACATGCCATCAATATAATCCCTATATGCACCATGGCAACCAGAATTGTATTTTCCCTAATTCGAGGATGCTTGCATTACATATCACTCATAGACAAGTTGGAAGCTGTGTAGTTTCATATCTGAAAGCTACAATACCCATCTCATATAATTTTCATTTTCTACTGTCTCGTACTTTATGTATGTATCCGGCTATCACTTTTTGAGGTAAAACAAGAAGCAAGTCAAAAAAGTAATATGAATTACGATGGTTTTCAATACTACAAACCTTTCCGTATTTCTGACTTCTTGCTTGAAGGTGTAAGCCATCATTCTGGAAACCACGAACTTCAGCCTGCGGCCATGTACATAGTTAAGGACATTAATCAATTGTTGTTTCCTTCATCTGATGTAAGTAATTTTCAGTATATAAATAAAACTGGACTTACACAAACAACATCCTTCTCCTCAAAAATACAGCGCATATTTAGTTCATCCACAGCTGTCCTCCGCCTCTAGCAGTGGAAAGAATAATTCTGAATGAGGGGGTTTCAAGCTTAAGTGGGGCAGAAAAGCCAACAGCAGAATATGGCAATGATGAAAAAAAAATAGCAAAAATCAATAGAGTGCTTTCAGAAACGAAAGTAATTGTGAATAGTACTTCCTTTTGTGTTTATCAAAAGCATGTTTAAACTTGAAGGACTTAACTGCTTGTTAAGTGATAACCATAATTGCATGTTTTACAATTGGCATTTGCATTGCTGACCTTGATTTACTGATTTCTTTGAGAATAATTTCTTCAATAATTAGGGACTTTTACACAAATTAAAACTGAAAAAAGTTACCCCTCAAATCAGCCCAGCCATTTCATGAGAAAAGACATACATGCTGTGAAGCCTAGATAGTCCAAAATTGGCAAAGTACCAGTGTCAATTCGCTTATCCAACACCAACATGCATATGATACACCTGAATATGTATCGAGGAAGTATCCTCCGATTTTTATTTTTATTTTAAGTTTTACTGGTTGATCTGGTTGGAACATGGCATGCCACCCATATGGCTTACCTTGGCTAGATACAGCTTATTCATAAAACATGTACCAGCAAATGTTGACACAGACCTAATATACAATTCAGGTCATAAATAATATTTGCAGTTCAGCTAACATATTACCAGCTTAGACTGCACCAAAAACCAAAAGATCAATATTAACATTGGATCTGCACCAAAGAGCTACCCAAAGTCAACAAACATGTCCCAAGGCATTATTCCATCTCGGTCAGTCTAACATTGCAAAATATCCCAGAATCAAAGCACTAACAATCTAAAACTTAATAAATAACCATACTCATTATGAACTACTTATACCCTAGAAAGCATAGATTACAATGATTTGAAGTTATAGTTTTGTAACAGAATCTACTAAATACATATCTGCTTCCTGCTCATTCATTCTTTCCCTCAACAATAACATAATGGCTTGACAACTATAAGCTATGTCAGCAATATGAGACAGCACAAAAACAATAAATACTTCCCACTCTATCATAGTTAACCAAAATTAGCTAAATTGTCATCCGCAAAATTTTCAAAAAGAGAGACGTATGCAAGTTATAGACATACTCTCCTGATAAAGAGTTGCAAAATATCCCCAAAACAGAAGTTATGAAATACCTGGACACCATCAGGCATATTCATAGAAGAAAGCATCAAAACTGCATCTTGACTGTAATTTATCTCCAATCTCCAACGCTTCTGAGCAACCTACACGACAACGAGTAAGATGGTGATGAAAGTGAAAGAACAGCAATAATAAGCACCGTACAATTTTCAAACAAATTCAGCGAAACTGTTGATACTAAAAAAGAGTACCTCAACAACACGCCCTATAACAATGTCACCAACCTCAGGTTTGTACCTACGATTCATTGGATTCCATTAATGAACATAATAACAGAAAGACAGTTGAGAAGTTAAGAACGAAGATTACCTGGAGCGCAACGCGCGAACATAGACGAGCTTGTTAACGCGCTCGACGACGCCGCAGACAGTGGCGACAACTTCGCCGTCGAGGTCGGCGGTTCCATGTCCCTTGAGGACACCGTCTTCAAGGTTGACAGGGATTGAATCGGCTATGGTGACGGAAGCATCGGAATTCACCTTGGATGACAGAGACTCCAACTGTTCTAGAGCCTTCTGAAGACGAACCTTCTGTGTTTGGCTCAACGGTAACTGTATCTCTCTCATTCCTCTCCTTCTCTCTCTCTCTCTCTCTCTCTCTCTCTCTCTCTCTCTCTCTCTCTCTCTCCTCAAACAGTATCGAATGGAAGAAGAAAACCCTAAACCCTAAGCCTCACTCTGCCACCACCATTTCAGAACCTCCGTCTCTGTTCTGAATTTGCAGTTTGGGCCTTTAAGCCCACCTATTAAATGGGCCTTGCTATAAAGGGATTTCGGTTTTACTTTTCCACTTCGGCGCCATATTCTAAAAAAATTATACTTTTATCTTTAAAAAATAAAAAGTTTACTTTAAAGTTTAAAAAATAACTATCACGTAATAAAATATGAGATAGTCATATGATAAACTCACAATCATACAAAAGTGAATCAACAATGATGATTTTATAATTATTTATTTCAATAATTTTTATTTTTTTTGATAACATATTTCAATAATTTTTATTTCTCTTCCTTTATCACCATTGATATACTTTTATATTATTTTGATTTTTCAAAGACTATATCATGTTTTATTTAATATAAGAGAAGCCAGGACAATAACCATGTTGTCGTGATTTGGAAAAAAAAAATATAAATATTAAAGTACTTTTAAATAAAAAAAATTAGTTGAATATTAAAATTAATAAACACTTTTTAAATAAAAAATTATAAGAAAGGATATGTAATAATAGTGGTGGTGGGGGTAGAATAATTAGAGTGGGTTGGGCTAGAATTCGATTTTCAAAAATATATTTAACTTTCGACTTCGATTTTTTTTTTTTTTTGGTAGATAACTTTCGACTTCGATTTTACTTTTCCACTTCAGCGTTATATTTCGGAAAAAAAAATTATACTTCCATCTCTTAAAAAAAAAAATATAGGATATTATACCTACCTTTTTTTTATATCTACCTTACCTACTACTCTCTAATATCGTTGGATCAGAATCTTAAGACGAGGGAGAAATGATAAAATTAGTTGATATTAGGAGTGTAAATAGGCTAGGCTAGGCTAGACTTTGGTGTAAATAAGCTAGGCCTGTGAAAAAGACATTAGGTTTGGTCTGGCCTATTAGCCTGTGTAGGCCCCAAATTACAAGTCTGACCTGACATATATTAAAAAATAAAAGCTTTAGTCTAAGCCTATTAGCCTGTTTAACCTTATTAAACATTCAATAATTAAAAGAATAACTAAAATAATATTATTGTATCATTCAAAATTATTAAAATAATAATTTTATTTATCTTATTTAAAATAAATAATATGATATAGGCCGGCTTGAAGGCTTATAGGCCCGACATGTACAAAAAAAGTCTATCGCCTATTTTCTAAAAAGTTTTTTTAAAAGCCTAGGCCTGTTCTATTTTATTATTTGTAATACGCCAAACCTGACCTAATATAGGCTAGGCCATAGGCCCCTATAAGCCTTCAGGGATTGGATTGGATCGGATTTGAAAAAAAATCAAAATCGAATGGATGATTATATGATCAAACCGAAGGGATTGGATCAGATGATTTTTGCTTCCAAAACCTATCCATTCCAGACCGTGAACACCCCTAACTCGAACAGTGTTGGAGAGTGGTATCTAAGGTAGATATAAAAAAGTAAGTAGAATATTATCCCTAAAAAAAATATAAGACTTTTCAAACTAGGAGAGATTATTCTACTTATGTGTTTTTAATACCTACCACTATTTAATACAGTTAGATTATAATCTCAAGAAGAAAGAGAAATGATAAAGATTAGTTGAGATTCTAATTTAACAGTATTGAAGAGTGACAAGTAAGGTAGGTAGGAAAAACAAATAGAATAATCTATCCCTACAAACTATAATGTATAAGCCAGGACAAAAACAACGTTGATGTGATTTAAGAAAGAAAGAAAAAATCGTGAATGTTATTATATGGATTCTTTTTTTTTTTCAAAATACATGTTGGGTCATGTTATTATATGAGCATGAAGGGATTTTTTTGGTACTGCTACTGTACCAATTTTTTTTTTTCTAAAAATGATAAAGTGTGAGAATTTAAAGGAAAATATGTAAAAAAAATCGAATTTAAATGGAACGAAAATTTTTTAATTTGAGAAAATGTTATATCAAGTTTGGTAAAATAGTAGTACTAAATAAATTTTTGTGAGCATGACTAACTTGCCACGTGGCAAAATATGGAAATCCTTCTAGTGGGTCTAGAAAGACAAGTCCTGCTCACCAATGCGAAAAAAATGTGGTATTACTATTGTACCAAACTTGATAAAATATTGTCTTAAATTGAAAAAATTTGGTTTCATTTGAATCCAAATATTTTTGTATATTTTCCTCTAATTTCTAATACTTTATATTTTATAATGATGTTTGGTATAACAATAGTATCAAAGAAATTCTTAGACTTTCATGTCCTAATGTTCTAGCCCCCCACAACCCAACCCCAAAAAAAACCTTATTAAAACTCACATATTAGCATTTATTATAAAAAAAAGAAGAGGGGTAAGAATCCTTGTAATGGTGGTGTATGTGGAATAATGGAGGGTAAGAATCCTTGTTACTTTAACACGAGTATTATGGTTGTGGATGTGGAATAATGAAGGGAAGGAAGGTATACGCGAGAGGTGGAGGAGTGTATGAGACTGTAGAATGAAAAGAGGATTTACTGTTTAGGTTCTTTGACTCCTTTTTATTAGAATATATTACTTATTTTGTATTTTTCCTTCTTTTACTTTTACTGATATACCCGTGTAATAACAAATAGCTAGTGAGGTGTACATTCTCTTAGGCACCATCTGTGAAGTATGCATTATGTTAATGTGTCCCATTTTTTCTTTCGATTACAATCTTAGCTAATATATAGCCTTACTGTATTCATTTCATCAATCAATGAATACAATGTGAATATTTTAGTTTTATGTGGATTATCATGTTCTTTGACAGCTAACATAGTATCAGTAGTTTTCTTTTAATTCTTGCCATCTTCTATGGCTCGTGGCAACAATTGCCCAAACCCAATTGATTCATCTTCTGGCACTTCAGGAACGTCTGCCTCCTTGGATGATTCCTCGAGTCCCTATTTTTTACAGAGTAGTGATCACCTTGGTCTAGTTTTGGTCTCCCGTTCTCTTTCCGGTTCCAATTTTAACTAATGGCATCGCGCGATGGTACTTACTTTGACCGCCAAAAGTAAATTGGTGTTTGTCGATGGCACTCTCATTCGCCTTTCTCCCACTGACCTCTTGTTCTCTGTTTGGAACCGTTGTAATTCCATGGTTATTTCATGGATTCTGAATTCTGTTACCAAAGACATTGCTGATAGTTTGCTATATTTTTCCAATGCTTATGAAGTTTGGTTCGATTTGAAAACCAGATGCTCTCAGGCTAATGGTCCTAGAATTTTTCAGCTCAAACAATACATTTCATCCTTCTTTCAAGGTTCTTTGGATGTTAATGGCTACTACACAAGCTGAAATCCCTTTGGGATGAACTACTGGATTATGTTCCTTTTCCTCTCTGTATATGTAGTGCTCTCCATCATATAAACACCCATAGGGACCAGGATCAGGTTCTCCAATTCCTTATTGGACTCAATGATTCCTACTCCTCTTCGCGTGCTCAGATTTTGTTGATCGACCCGCTACCACCGCTTGCTAAGGTCTTCTCCATGATACTACAGGAAGAGCGTCAACGTCAATTGTCTATTTCTTTGCCTAGTTCTGTTGTTCCGGATTCCCCCCTTTTGAATTTGTAACCACATCTTCCTCCTCATCTCAGCCAATTGCTTCTTCCCCACCCACGGTGGCTGCAACCCAACGTCGTTCCCGTCCCGTTTGCACATTCTGCCACCTTTCTATCCATACTCGTGAGAAATGCTTCAAACTCAACGGGTACTCTCCTGGTTACAAACCTAAACCACCTAGGCCCACTCCTTTTACTATCCAAGCCCAAATACCAGCTCAGGCCCATTCTATTCATTTGGGCTCCCCTCAATCAACATATTTCCCATCTTCCACCCAACTATTGAACCCTGATTTCTCCTCCTCTGATCCTCCTCTTTCCTTTACTCCCTCCTAATACAACCAACTACTATTACTTCTCCAACAGAGTTCTGCTTAGTCTTCTCCATCCGCTGTTTCTTCTGTCGTCGAGTCTCCTCCTTCGGTAGCAAGCTTCAGTGGTAAGTCTTCCCTATCATTTCCTTCTTATTGCTAGATTTTGGATACTGGTGCTACACACCATATTTGTATCCAACTTAATCTCTTTCAGTCTTCATCTCCATCTATTTCCCTGGTCTCCTTTCATAATGGTTATGCTGTTGTTGTTTCCTGTGTTGGTTCCGCTTTGATTTCTGATTCTCTGTCTCTCCTTAATGTTTACACGTTCCGTCTTTTTTCTTCAATCTTTTGTCCTTCAGTGCCTTGACTCGTGATTCCTCCGTCATTGCTAATGATGTGCCTCTGGAATATGTAGTTTTGCAAGCTAAAAATGATAAGGATTAAGTCATAAAGGAGCAGTTTATAGACATATTTGGTTAATATATTGACCTTTTCATTTCAATGATATTTCTCACCTATTTGTTATGTTTATATAGGGAGAAAAAAAGGAGAAAACGATATTTTAAAAGACTATTGGCGCGAATCTACACGGGTGTTGGTTCTGAGCTACATCAGTTTCCCCTGGGCCATTTTCCAGAGAAATGGCGCGATTTGGCGCCATTGTGGCGCGATCCTGCGCCAGTCAGGTTGCTAGGCTACTTTCCAGAGAAGTGGCGCGGTTCCGCGCCAGTTTGCGGGAAATATCATCGTGTTCTGAAGGGAAAAAGTGAGAAAAATGCGAGAAGGACTATAAAAAAGATTCTGAACAGACAGAAAAGGGATTCCAGCAGAGGAGAACCGTCGTGCTTCAGAGAGAGAGTTCTTGCGAGGAAATCGTGTTCATTCTTTTTTCTTCCATCTTCTATTTACAGTTTATGTTTAATTTTTGTATGTTAGCTATAACAATGGTTGGCTAGTACTCTTTATTGTAGTTAGGGTCACAAACCCTATGTGAACCTTTGTTACAAAGGATTGATTTATAATTACTCTTTTATATATTTATATTTATCTCTACTCTGTGCGTAATTTCTATCTTCTTTGTTAGAATTGATCAATCT